CTTAGGGAAAAACTAAAGAAACCTGAATAAAGCACGGTCTTTAGTTAATAATAATATATCAATATTATTTCATCAATTGTAACAAATGTACCACACTAATGTAAGACAGTAACCGGGGAAACTGTGCAGGAGGGTTATATTGGAACTCTCTGTACTAGCTGTTCTGTTTCTCTGTAAATCTAAAATGTTTCTTTAAACAGTCTATTAAAAATAATTTAATAATTTTGTAATTCATTTAAAAACAAAACAGCTCCCCAACCACACATGCTCACCTTCCTGGCAAGCGGTGTGGAGCCCTGTGCTCTGCTGGTGGTGTCTGATGTTTCTGTAACAGGGGCTGGGCTTCTGTGGTTCGGACCAGAGCCCAAATCCAGCAAAGGCTTTTAGAGCTGCCTTTTAAAACGAGTGCTTTGGGTCCAACCAGAGGTCGCTGACGGATCTGTACCCTTCAGAGGAACGTGCAACGTGTTCCCTTGATCTGCACGTTAAACGCTCATCAAATAAGCATTAAACATAAATTATTCTCTTTAATAGCCTAACTATAAAATTCCAGAGAAGGGCTGAAGAGCAGAGAGAAGTCAAAGCCTGGGACTCAGGAGAGAGCAGAGGGTGGTGACATTCTCATAGGCTGAGGGGCTCACAGTGGCTGCTGTCACTTTACTGAATTCCCTGCACTGCCCCAGGGCAGCTGGACCTCCTTACAAGCAGGGCAGGGCCTCTGGCCCCCATCATCGCTGCTGACTGACACCCACCAGGGTGGCCCCTTCCTACCAGGCCCCTCTCATCACAAGGGCCCTCAGGCCTGGCAGGGCCCCCTTGTGTAGCCCCATCCCTGCGTCTGCCCCACCGTCCTTCCTTCAGGGAGGAGGGCACCCCACAGCTGGGAGGCTGGAGGCTGGGCCCACCGGTCCCCATGACTCAAAGCTCTTCCCATTCCGTGAGCCCAGACCCAATCCAGCCCGGCTGCACAGGGGGCATGGGAGGGACAAAACTCCTTTATCACGTACAGAGAACTTACTATTTTAACTCGGAGGCACCTTTATCTTTAATGTGGGATTACTTCTGAGGCAAAGGAAGAAAAGACCTGGCCACAAAAAGAAATAAGACCCTTTCCTTAGAAGCGGACACACCAGGTTCACAAATCACAAACACAGGCCTGGTTTCTAAAAAGATTCCCTGGAGACACCTGAAGCTGGCCCACCAGCAGGGTCAGAGGGCCTTGCTTCCCCCATCCCCCATCACTGCCGACTATGACCGTCTTTGCAGCGCCATCCCAGACATCACCCTGTGGGCTTGTCCCAACAGCCCTCAGAGGCAGGCACACAGGGCAGCGTTGTGCGGCCAGCCCCGGCACAGGCCGGTGATACAGTCGTCCAGAGTGAGTAAGGGAGCGGGACTATGCCTGCCACCTGCCAGCCCAGGGGCCCGCGCCCCTGCCCCCCGGGGAATCTCAGTCCAGTTCCAGGGAGTCTGGATGGTGGGCAGCCTACTGACAAAGGCCCATTCAAGAGAGGCCAGACGAACAGTCCTAGCGGCAGAAACAGAAACTCGGAGCAGCGGTCAGAGGCCCAGGGGCCAGGCCCGAGTAACCCTGCCCACAGCCAGACCACAGTACCTGCCCCTTCCAGCCTCTGCTCAACAGCCCACCTCCTTGGAAAGCACAGCTCTGGGCGGCGCGTTTGAACCTACAGGGCACTTTGTCTATACTCACATTGTCTTGCTTGAGGGTAGAAATGACACAGGGATGCACCCTGACCCATGGGCCTGCATACTTGGAAACCTGCCCAACCTGGTCCCATCGCATGCGTGGAGGTTTACCCGACCTTGTTTGTCTCTGCTTCGGGAAATGCACTGTCCCCTCCCTCCTGCCACACGCCTCATTGCCCCAGTTCCCACAGAGCCAAAGCCCATGCCTGTCTCCAGGTACCACCATCACGACCATGTGTGTCTCTCCCATCAGACTGTGAGCTCCTTGGAAGCAGAGGCACATTCTAGGCATCTCTGAATCTCCAACACTTTGCATAGTAGCTGCTCAGTAAATGCCCATGACTGAATGAACGGATGCTTCATCATCATTATGCCTTTAGTCATAATCCAGTCTAAGCCCAGAACAGCCTGAGGATCTGTGTGGAATTTTAAAGGAATTTTAAAACTTTCTCAGTGCTCCCCTGCCCCCACCTCCTCCAGCCAGCTCTCCAGGTCTCCGTCAAGTCCCAATCACCAAAACGCTGTGATGAATCAGCTTCCTTCCACTGCCTTCAGCCCTTAAACACCTGCAGACCTCCGATAGGGTCTGACTCTTAGTTTTCAGACTCTACCAAAGGAACAGGCAGACTGAAATGACACATGGGCATAAAGGAATGTATCCCTCAGGTATGTGTGGTGGGTACCTGGGTAGGAGTGACAGGTGGGAGAGAGCTTAGAGGGACAAGTGGGCTTTCACCGTGCCCTGGTGGGTGAGGACTTTTTCCCACATATGTTCAGTTCACAGATGCTCTCTGGGCTTTCTCCATGTCTGACACTGTGCCAGGCCCTGTCTGGGGCAAAAGACAGACCTTGCCTTTGAAGAGGTGGGAGCGGGTATGGGGAGCAGGTGTGGACATAAGTAGCTAAATGAAGGCTCAGTAGGCGTGTACTCTAAGGGAAGAATCAACCGAGCATTTCAGAGGTACCAGGAAGAGGAAAGCTTGTCTGTTTACTGGGAATTTGGAAAAGCTATTTGAAAGAATGAGCACTGGAGAGGAGCCTCAAAGGATGGTATAACAACAATAATGTCATTCTAATAATAACCATGTGTCATTATTATTACTATTGTTATTATTATAGCAGCTAGTATCTACTGAGTGTTTACCATATGGTAGGCACCAAGAAGCACTTGACATAGCTTACCCCTGGCTCAATCCTCATGCCCATTTGACAGTTAAGAATACTGAGGCTTAGAAGAGTTAAGAAAACTAGGAAGCGTCAGCACCCAGATTAGACCCCAAGTCTGTGCGTCTCCAAAGGCCGCTACCCCCTACTCAGCTGGCTGGAGTGAGACAGCTCATTCCTGTTAGGGCCTGAGTGGAGGCAGAGGGTAGGAAGTACAAGGCTCAGGATGACCATCTGGAGAAGGGGCCTGGAGAGGTGGCTGCAGCCGAGTTCCTGAGAGCCTCGAGGGCCAGTGCCAAGCACCTGTCCTCATTAATAGGCAATGGAGGGCTTCCCTGGCGGCGCAGTGGTTGGGAGTCCGCCTGCCAGTGCGGGGGACACGGGTTCGATCCCTGGTCCAGGAGGCTCCCACATGCCACGGAACAACTAAGCCCATGCGCCACAACCACCGAGCCTGCGCTCTGGGGCCCGTGAGACACAACTACTGAGCCCGCATGCCACTACTACTGAAGCCCGTGTGCCTAGAGCCCGTGCTCCGCAACAAGAGAAGCCACCGCAGTGAGAAGCCCGCACACCGCAACGAGGATCCAATGCAGCCAAAATTAATAAATAAATAAAACAAATAAATTTTTTAAAAAAGGGCAATGGAGAGGTCGGACATATGGGCCCACAAGATCAGTGGTAAAAGGATGGGGGCTGAGAAAGTGGAAGGGAAGAGGCGGTCACAATGGTCTGGGTGAGAGACTGCACCGGGGTGAGGTGAGAGGGTGCTCGGGAACCTGTGAGCTCATGCCTGTGTGTTAGGTATGGAGATTATGTATGTGTGAGAAGGGGAGAGTGTGTGCCAGTGTGAGCCACACACATGAGCAAGTGTGGGGCCCTTCTTGTTGAGGAAGGACGTTGCAGGGCCTTCCGGGGGGAGGTGCGGGTGAGGTCAGCTGGGGAGAGAGGGAGGGACCGGGCTAATGGATGGATCTACCGGTGCAGGAGAGCTCCGGGGAATGAAACCAGCATCTGACTTTCTCACAGCTCTGTGGGTCCTGGGAAGCCCACAGGGCCCGGCAGAGGGGAGGGACTCAGTTAACATTTGTTCAAGGGATGGCTTGTATGAATTTAAGACTTCGCCTCTTGTCCCTTCCCAGGCCTGGCTTTGCCCTCCAGCTGCATGGGGGGCACTGTCATTCCAACTAGATCCTCCCTCATCCCTGGCTTCAAATCAGATCTTCTGAGCTCAGCAGCCACCTTCCCATGGTCCCAGCCTGGTTCCCAGGGCCCCAGCCCCGCTCCCCCGTGCATCTTTGTAACAAGTGTGTTCCTGTGTGAGCTCCAAGCTGACTTCATACTTTCCCAGGTCAGAGGGCCCCTCCTCCTTCCCATTCCAGAGAAGAGAAGATGCTGCCAAATTGGTTCCAAGCTTTTGTCTTGGCCAGAGACACCCTGCTTCTCATTAGAGACAGAAAACCCTGATCGGCACCTCCCGTCATGCTCTCCAGCTGGTCCAAGGCTCTCCGTCCAGAGGATTCATAGACCCAGCAAATGATGGCCTTGGACCTCATCCTCTCCAGAGACCACATCTCCCAAGACTCCATCCAGCCCCAGTTTTCATCCTGGCAGAAGAGACCAGGTGCACATGGTGTCCAGGGGGACGGGCTACAGCAGCCTGAGAGAAAAAAGCCCAGTCTGAGCTTCCTGAGCATCTCCTGGCCCACGGGGTGAAAGGGGAGGCCTTCTCCGGAGTGACCAGAGACCAGCCCCTTTCCTGCTCAGCTCAGCTACAACCCTGTGTTATGAAATCATGAGTACAGTTTGGCATCCGGAGAGAAAGGGATCTCTTTCAAGACTGTACAATCTATAAAAATTAGGAGGCAGAAATGCCTTAGAAATCATGAAATCTAGCCCCTCTGCCGACGGATGTGGAAACAGGGGTCTAAAATCGTGGAGGCTTTCAGTTGCTTGAGATCAGTCTAAACCATTTCTGACTTTTGCCAGAAACCCTGTTTGCATCCAAAACGATAACTGTGGGATGAATGCACTTCCCCTTGGAGCACAGCCAGGACTACAACCTGGGTCTGTGTCTCCAGTTGATAGCCTTTCTGCCACAGGCTCTCTGCCTCCAGGGGCTGTGCCTGTCATGACTGGTTTGCTTCCTCCAGGGCGTTCAGGCAGAAGCTGGTGGGTGATTTGTCAGACAGTGAGTCCTGGGGGCTGCCTGGCACAGTCTGCCAACCAGATGGCAGACAGCTAGGTCCAACAGGGCTGGGCTCTGACTTACGGGGGGTCTGGTGGGCTGGCTTCCCTATGGCTGTGGGGAGTTTCCAGGGTCTAGGGAAGTGCTCCTCCTGGCCCCTCTCCGGGCCACATTCTCCCAGAAAATAGGATGGAGCAGGCTCCCCACTCACTAGGGCACCCACACTTTGGAAGGGATCCTGGTCCCCAGAGGATTGCTGGCAGTAAAGAAAAGAAGGCAAGCGATGTGGGACAGGAAGTATGGGGATCACAAATCCTGGCTGAAGAGTCAGAGGCCTCAGCCACAGCTGGGTGTGTGACCCCGAGCCCAGTTTTCCCATCTACGTGATGTCCTGATTGGATGTTCCCCTTCCGGCTCTGAGAAATCTAGGACTCACAGTCAGGGGCTGTGTCTTCCTTCTCACCCTCATGGCCCTAGCAATGAACACATTGCAAGTACTTAAAACAATTCCTTGAATAATTGAATGAAATGGGGCCTAAGTCAGTCCAGAGATCACAAGGCGGCCAGGAAGGAGACCCTTGCCTCCGGTGACTACCACGAGACCCCTAGAGAAGCGACAGGTCTTAGAAAAGCCCTGGCAATCCAGGAGCCCTCTGCAAACCCACTTCCTCTCCTAGATGCACAGATGTGGCTGGCGGAGCCAAGGAGAAAGCAGGAAAGTGTACCCGCGGGAGGGAGGATAGCCTGGACCTCCTCCCCGCCATCACCCTACCTACACTTTCTACACTCACCTGGCTCCTCTCTTTCTGGATCCCCTCTCCTCCCAGCCCCCATCCAGGCTTTGTCTCCTCTCCCTGCCCTCTCCGCTCTCCACTCTCCAAACACAACCTTTCCTCCCTCCTCTGGGGAGGCTCAGAGCCTTCTGCTGGTCCCAGAGCTGCCTGATCCTCTGCTAGGCAGGAAGTCTCAGCAGCAGAGTCCAGACTCCTAGGAGGGGCCAGGAGCCTCAGGCTTTCTCAGGGTCAAGGCAGGTAGAAAGCTGCCATGGAGAGATTTAAATGCTGGTCCATGCCCAGCCTCTTGCATCTAGCACCTAGGAGAGGGGCTGCCCTCTGGGGGAATCTGGAAGTGCATTTCTCTCCACCTTCTTCTGCAGGGGTCTTGGGGAGGTGTTTCCTTCTGGCCTTTTTGAGCCTTCCCGTACATGCTCCTTGGCATAGAGCTAGGAAACTGCCCTCTCTCTTCCAGCCAGAGACCTACTGCAAAGAAGCATTGCGTGTGTGTTGGGGAAGCAATGGGATGTTATTGCTGGTATGTGTGAAAGCACACACAGTGCGATGACAGGGCGTACGTGTGGCATTGGGGGTGATGTGTTGTGGTGTGGTATGTGTATGGTGTATTTGGCGTGTTATGTGGTGCACATGTGGTATGATATATGTGTGTGTAGTGTGTTGATGCAGGGTGTGTGGCAAGTAGGATGTGTGGTATGTGTGTGAGTGTATAGGTGGTGTGGCAAGTGTGCATATGTTTGGGGTGTGTTTGTGACGTGCACTGTGTGTTGGGGGGCCTGGATGGGGTAGGGGCCACATCAGTTTGAGCTGGGAGCTAGCTAGCTCTCCAGAGTCTCCTACTCTGAGAAGTCAGGGATAACCAGTATCTAGGCAACCATGTTGGGGGGAGGGGAGGAGATATGGAAGTAAAGAATGGGCAGGAAAAGGAGGGAGGCTGAGAATTGAAGAGGGGTTTCCATGGCAACTACCGGGCAGGTCACGTGAAAAAGGCTAAGTTGCAGAAACAGATATACATATCCACACATACACAGTATGAGGGTACTGGGCCCTCACAGAGGGATCCTTCAACAGAGGACATGGGCTGCCCACTGATCCATCTCCAAACCTGGAAATCTGGGCCCAGCCAGAGAGCACAACGCCACGGAGACAAAGCAAGTGAAGACAGAGGCCCCATCTGTGGCGAGAAGCCCCGGCAGCCACAGCCCACTGTGTCTGGAGGTGGGCAGCAGGGCCCTAGCCAGGCCCATTGCTCCAGTGTGGCTGCTCCCTGCTCCCACCGTCGGGTGCTCCCTTTACCAGCCACCACTTGTAAAAGCCCAGAAGCGAGCGCCAGTAGCCCCAGGCAGCCCTTCCAAGTCTCCACGGAAGCCCAAGAGACACAATGGGGAAGGCTGTGCCAGGGCCAGCCCTGCTGGGGAAAGAGGGCTGGGCAACAGTAGAGGAGGGAATGGTGCGGGTTGGGGGGGGGGCGGTCAGGGCCCCCTGGAAGAACCTAGGACTGGTTAGACAAGAGGAGAGGAAAACTGATGCAGACACTCTCATGAACCCCACGCCCGGGAATCAGCCTTCCTTACCTGCCCCCATTCCCAGTGCCCCCTGCCCAGCTCCAGCTCTCCCTGTCCCCCAAGCACCGAGCCAGCAAGTTCCATTTTGTATGGTTATGTGTGCACACACACAGCCGGCCCCCTCCCTCTCTTCACCTCCGCACACTCCACTTAAAGAGTCCAAGCTTCCAAGTAACAAAGGAAAACCCCCTGGACACAGAGGAGAGCAGCCCTTTCCCCTTCTCCCAAAACCGTAGCCCCAAGCTCCAGGTAGCGGCAAGCCCCTTTCCAGAACACCTTCACTCCCACCGCCACGGCCTGCCTCCCCTCGGCAGCCCCTCTTCTCTTCCGACGACCACCTCCGGGTTTCCATCCCCTGCCCGGTTTCCGCGGCCCAGGCGGCAGCTGCCCGGCGAGGACCGCTCACACCCACCGAAACAAACCAACCCTGGCAGCATCCCGGCGCCCCGCGATCTGTCCCCACCCCAGCCTCTCTCCCTCTCCGGAAGAAGAACCCAACTTTGCCACCACCGGAGCCACTTACCTGCACGGCGCGGTACCCTCCGAGACAATCCCAGGAGGATGCGCGGAGTCCGGAGGAGCCTGGGAGCGGCGGGGCTGGGGGCAGGGCTGTGGGCGAGGCTTTCGCTTTTTTCCCGCCTCCCCTGCTGGGAAGGGTTGGGGCTTGTTGGAGAGGCGCGCCCTGCAGGGGTGGGGAGTGGTGGGCGGGAGCTAAGCCGGGGCTGGGCTCCGGGGACCGCGAAGTCACAGTCCGCCGACCTCCCGTTGGCGTCCGCGCGCAGACCCTCTCCTGCTCGCCGCGCGCCGCCGGCTCCTCGGAGCGCGCCGCCGCTGCTCCCGGCTGCGGGAGAGATTCTTTTTCAAAGGGCAGGCCGCGCCGAGAAGCAACAGGAGACCGCCGTCGAGGGCGCGGGCCAGCGCCGGCGCGCATTCGCCGCCAGCTGTGCCTTTCTGGTTTTCCTCTGCTGAGGGTGGGGAGGGAGCGAGACAAACACGATGACAGAGATAGTGTCTCTCCGAAATAGTAAACTCGGGGAGGGGGTGGGGAGGGGGGACGGAAAAATACGAGAAAATAACCCAGCACCAGACACAGCAACCCACGTTAATTAGAAGTCTTGACAACGAAGTGGGATGCGCACCTAAAGCGTGAATGGCTGTGTCGTGGGAGCGCGAGCCGGTTCTGGCCGGAGTTGTCATTTTCAGCAAGAGCCACGGGGGCTGCTGAGGGCGGGGCCTCGCTGGAACCACAGATTTGCTGCCCAGATCCCCCTCGTCAGGGCCCCTCGTCCCGCTCCTGCCGGGTCACAGTACCGCCCCCTCCCCAGTCCACTCCTGAGGTCCAAATTCGAGACGACAAACTGAATGAGAAGATTTAAATCCTAGCTCCGCAACTACACCTGTGACCTTGAGCACAGCACTGAAGGGAACTCTTGAGCCTCAGTTTCCTTCCATGTGAAACGACGGTGAGAACCCTGACCCCCGGGAGCTGAGCCCAGCGCTCAGAGAGAGCGCTCCGTAAGCCGGCAGTCGCTACGAAGGGCAGGGCCTGTAGCAAGGGCCCGAGGCCAGGCACTGGCAGAAACCACGGACACGGCAAGGGCTGGCCACTCGGTTGGTAGCCAGGAAGCCATGCTGCCGGCCATGAGGCTGCCCAGCCTGAGCCAGGAGGGGGATCGACAGGTTTGGGGGTGGGGGAGAGGGGGCCGGTTCCTGAGAGAGGCTGTAACTGTCCAAGCCCGAGAGGAGCCGCAGGGACTTCCTTACAGAACCGGAACCCTAGTATGCTGGGTACTGCCAGGAAGAGACCCAGCCCTACCTCAACACCCCAAGCCCTGGCCCTCAATTTTCTCATTTGTGAAATGAAGGACATGGGCTAGATAATCCAGAGGCCCCTTCCAGCTCGAACCCTAGATTGAATTATTTTAATAAATGGTCCAGTCTCAAAACCCCAAAGCAGGAAATATATATGGATTCCAGAAGGTTTCGTACAGATGTGGAAGAGCCATAAATGGCCACTGAGAAAGAGTGGGGAACCCTTGAGAGGACAGGTTGGACTCCATGAGCACAGAACCTTGGACAGAGTGGACGTCTCTCTGGCCCAGTCCTGAAGTTCCTTGGTGCCTTTGAAAATCACTCGCTAGACCCATGTCCTTGGGCAAGTAGATTAGTCCCTCGCAGGTGCCCTTGAGGGCTGCCTGCCAGCATCTCATTGTGTTGCCTCTTGGAGTTCCTCCTGGTGAGGACACTTCAAACCCAGGTCTGCAAGTCTGTTTGAGAAAGACAGGCTACGGGTCAGAACTCCAAAGCCGAGTCACCTGTTAGTACCAGCCCTTGTCTTACCAGAGAATTCCAAGGTGTTTGGCCAAATTACTCAGATGCCCCTTAGCAGTGAAAGGCCGCAGAGGGGCAGCAGGGGCTACATTCACGTGCAGAAGGACCTTGGTTTGCCCCTCAAATTCGCTTCTCCCCAGTCCATCCAGAGGCACAGCTGAGGGAGTTTGGGGTGACACAGCTATGAAGTCACACACAAGTTTGTTCTAGCGGGAGTCCTGGCTCCCTTCTAGGGGAGGAATAAACACATCTAGCCCCTATGAAACATGTGGGCGTCAGTAAAAAAGGTCACCAGCTGCCTCATTCTTGCAACACATTTATTGGCATGAGGAGCTACTGGGCAGTGAGCCCTGGGCCAAGCTCCAGGCTCCACAGTGAAAGGATAGTCACGGTCCCTTAGAGCTAATTGGCAAGGCAGAGATTGATCAAATAATCCCATGGATAAGTGCGTCATTAAAACAGCGTTCAGAGCCCTGAGGATGTAACGTTTGAGAAGCGAGCTGAAGGGTCAGGAGGTGTTAAGGAGATGAGGTGAAGGAGCCAGGAACTGGAGTGACAGGCAGGGTTGGGAAATGATTCTGACACGGGAACAGAAGCCACATGCGCAAAGGCCCTGAGACAGAAGGGGCATGGCGTGAAAGGAGCCACAGTGGCTCTGGAGCAGAGGAGACAGGCGGGAGAAGGAAGCAGTTGCCAGACCGGGCAGACCTGGTGGTTCCTGGGTGAGTCCAGCTTTTAAGCTCCCGACAATGGGAAGCCACTGAAGGGCATTAAGAAAACTACTGCAAGCAAGAATTGGGGAGTTGCTGGCTCCGTAGTGTGGGGGACCCTACAGTCAAGAATCAGGAGCTGTCAGGAGAGCAGTGCTCATCTGAAGCTGAGAAATCGGCTTGGATCCCAACTGAAGGGAACCCTTCTCTAGAGGCCAAGGAGCAAAGAGAGAGAGCTGGGGCAGTGGTGCCCAGCCACGGTGGGCATAGGGCGTGAAAGCACAGAAACCATTTCTAAAACCCTCCCCACTCTCACCCCCCCTCCATGCCCAGAATAAGATCCATGCCAAGATGTAGAGTTTGGAAGGATAGTGTAAGTGTTGGGAGCTTAAGGGACTTGTGCTGAGCTAAGTATCTTGCAATTGTTCAGCTAAAGCTCCATCTGGATAACACTTGCCCCAGTTCCCTTGTACTGTGGCAAAAACAGACCTGCAGTAAGTCAGTACCCAGGTCACACAGCTACGGACAGGAAGCAGAGGGCCTGCAGGGAAGATTAAAGGGGCAAGACCAGGAGTCACCCGAGGAGGCCCTCGTCCCTCCTAGAAGTTCCTAGTAGAAACAGCAAGGTTTGGGTGCTCTTTCATCCTAGGGTGCAGACTGCAGAAGCAGAGCAGACCTTGCCCACCAATTGCTACCTTGGGTCCATTCGTACTCATTTTACTTTGTAGGGTTTTGAAAGCGTGTTCTCTCCCACCCTCAGCCGAATGCTAAGCCCCTCGTTGAAAGAGCTCTGCTCACTTCAAAAGCGCTCCTTGGTCCTGATCCCTTCCTCCCTTCCTGATCTTTCTTTCTCAAACTCCTTGGCTTCTCCCTCCACCAGTTGTGTTGGGCCCTTTGTCCTCGGCTCTGCATAGTTCCTGGACGGTCCAATCCACAATCATGGTTTTGCCACCCACTTAGGGCTGATGACCGCACGCTCTGCAGCCTGGTCCTTACCCCGGAGACCCAGACAAGTAATCTCCAGGGGCTCAGCAGTGCCCACACTGACCCCCCAAAGCTGGCTCTCCTCCCACATCTTCCTTGAATGTGGACATGGCACTGCTCCAACTCAGCTGTTCATCCAGAAAAGCGTGTACCATCCTCATGCCTCTCCCCACACTGCTTCTGTTCTAGGTACCAGCCTCCCGCTGGTGCCTCTGCCTCAGTCTCCCCACCCCACACTAACTCTTGTTTGGTAATAATTTTCCACAACACAGATGTGATTCAAACCTTCCAAGGCTCCCTATTTGCTACAAGTTAAAATCCAACTTCTTAAAATCCAGCATTCAGTCTTTACCACCTGACACCCACCTACCTTTTCTGCTTCATCTCCGACCCATTCTCTGCCCTGCCTTCCCCATCTCATCACTCTGGTCACCCCAGTCCTTGCAAACGCTGTGCCCCAGCTCAAGAGGGCCACTCACAATTATCCAAACACATTGCTTGCTTTCCCACCCCCAAACTTTTGCTCATATGATCCTCTCTGCTTGAGATATCCTCTCCCTCCCTTCTCTACTTACATGAATCATACCTACCATGCAAAGTGAAATTCAAACATTACCTTATTGAAATTAAAGCTGTCTTGTCCACACTGTCATGAACTGCACTGTGTCTCTTCGTCTGTGCTTGTACATATCATAGTCTGAATTTTACTGTGTTTAATTGCATGTGTGTGTGTGGCCCAAGGAGAATGGGAACTCCTTGGGATCAGCCAGGCATCTTACTCCATTTATACGCCCTAGTGTCTTGCATGGTGACTCACTTATAACTGGTTGAGTTTAAGTGAATGTAGCTCACAGGACTCTACGTGATCCTGCCTCAGCCCACCTCTCCAGGTGCATTCCGAACACTTTCTTCCATGGTCTCTCTCCAGCCAGCAACCTCTCAGCTTAACCACAGGGTCTTCAGAACTGGTTCCCGGGGCACGGGTACCCTGGGCCCAGACCACGCCGGTGAGATGCAGCTGTTTTGTTCTCTCTTCCCAAGATGAAGGGATGAGGAAACTAGTGCTATTGAGGCCCAAAGCAGAGGAGAGAATGGTTCCCAGGCAAGACTGCCTGGAGAGGAGGAGTAGGGAACCCTGACACTGACGCTGGGGCTTGAAAAGCAGGACTTCTCTGACTGTGGGTGGAGCAGTGGGGACTGGGTAGGATGGCAGACACCACTGGTTCCCCAGACCAGGTCCGTTCTCTTCCTTTTCCCTTCTTTTTTTTCCCTTAGAATGTAATTTATTATTTGATTTTAGTTAATTCACTTAATTCTTCATTTCCTCATCAATGAATTCTTTTTTTTTTAATTGGAGGATAGTTGATTTACAATGTTGTGTTAGTTTCAGGGGTACAGCAAAGTGAATCAGTTATACATATACCTATATCCACTCTTTTTTAGATTCTTTTCCCATACAGGCCATTACAGAGTAATGAGTAGAGTTCCCTGTGCTGTACAGTAGGTCCTTATTAGTTATCTGTTTTATATATAGCAGCGTGTATATGTCAGTCCCGAACTCCTAATTTCTCCCTCCCCCCCCCTTCCTTTTCCCTTCTGTCAGAACATTTTTCTAATTCAGCTGCAATGTGTTCAGTTTAAACTACTGATTTTCCAGCAACTAGGGGTGTCCATATGATCCAGTTCCGGCCAAGGAGATGCGAACAGAATTATACTCAGGAAGAATTCTAAGAAGGGCACAGTAATATGTCCCTTTTGCCCTTTGCCCTTTTCTTTTTCTCCCTTCTTCTGTTCCTTTTCTTCTTCCTTCTGTCCTTTCTCCCCCTCCTCCTCCTTTTATTTTTTTTATTGAAGTATAATTGATTTATAACTAATTTATAACAACTATGCTGTGTTAGCTTCAGGCGTACAGCAAAGTGATTCAGTTATACATATATATA